GAACCCCGGCCGGGCCTCAGATTGGCTGCCCACCGACGTCCGTTGGCCAGCGATGGCTGGAGGGCGTGGGAGGCTGCGGCGACCTACCGGTCGAGGAAGGCCGGGTGTGGGGAGGTGCTGAGGATTCAGCAGGCAGAAACGCGAGCCCCCGGCAAATGCTTGGAGGAAGGCGCTGCCTGCCACGTGCCGGTGGTGCCGGGAGCCCAGAGATCCGGGGAGGAAGTCATCGGGCACAGCGACTCTGGCAGCTGAAGCACAGATGGGTCCCCACGTAGCGCTGAAAGTCTGCGCTGTGTTCCTGGCTGGCTGTCTCTGAAAGCAGATTTTATGTGAGCGCGTTTCAGAGGAATGGAGAAATGGAAGGGCGGGAGTGAATTTGGGTGCGGATTGAATTTTCGCAAACAGTGTTTTAACTTCACATTGTTTTCCGACACATTCTGCTTATAACCTTTCCTTCTTTTCACTTAACAGCTAAACTCCTTTCACAAGGAAGTTCTTTAAGTTCGTTGGTGATGAAATCCCCCAGGAAAGAAAGCCCAGAGGGTCCAGCCTGATGCAGTTACACCGTCTAACAGATTGCTAAAGGAAGATTTTAGAGGGTGAATCTCTTCAGTGACACATGGTCATATGCACATATCGGACCGAACGATGGCTCTTTCCACCAGATTCCTCCAGACTGTTAGAATATTTTTGTCTGTGGTGCCATTTATGTGACAGTTAATCACACACTGCATTGTGATGTTTCTTATACTGAACCATTATGTGTGTGTTCATGATCCCCTCTGAACTACTCAATGCCAGGAACGCATCCTCAGGGGCCACCACCATCCTTCCGGGTCCTGACACCCAGGCTCCATCAGAGTTGCTGTCCTCTCGTGCAGCATCCAGCCTCTGGATGCCTCTTTTCTCTTCCCGTCTTCACCTGGCCTTCCTTTCCTAGCCAGCCTGGATACCACACAGAGAACATGACTTGGAGAGCAAATCCGGGATCTGGCTGGTGAGGAAAGAAACAAAGATCCATTGTTTTGATTTCGCACAGAACTAGGAGACACTCCAGTGGCCCTTTTGCTGTCTGATATGTCTAAAACAAGGAAGGATTTTCGGATAGTAGGATACGCGTAAAAAATTACAACCAGTGTTGAGAACCACTTGTTGATTTTTTTAATGACAAAATTAGGATGATAATTACATGTTTTACATCATTTCAGAACTCTGTTACATCAAGTCATTTTGCCTGTCTTGAAATATTCTTTTGAAATGTGCTTTTTTTTAAAGCAAAGACTGCATAGAATCATGTGGCTCGGATGCACCATGACTTACCCCATTGTTGAATACGTAGGTTGTTTCAGGTTGCTCATGGCTGTAAATAATACTGGGATAAACCTCTTCATACGTAAGTCTCTGGCAGCATCTCTGATTCCCAGACATGACATTTCTGAGCACACGGGCATGGATATGTCTTAAGGTTGTTGGTGGAAAGGTTTGAGTAACACGGGTGAGAGCAGTCACTCGAAAGCTGTCATTCTCCCGCATAAGGCTCGTCAGTCTTCCACCCACCTCCCTCGAATCTCTCCCCCTTCTGCCTGGTATTCCTTCTCCTCTTGAGAGATTTCCTCATAGAGCCAAGCACTTGTCCAGGTGTCCTTGGTACCCCTCAATACCTCTTCTCTACCATCAAGCTCACTACTGAAACGATAGTTTTAAATTCTGTTTTCTTATTAGACTTCAAACCCTGAGGGCAGGGATAGAGTTCATTTACTTTGTGTCCTTGGCTCCTGGTTCAAACTATGGGGAAGTAGTCAAAATGCAGGGAGAAAGTTAGGAGCTTCATTCTATTTTTTTTTTTTTTTGAGTTGGAGTCTCACTCTGTCGCCCAGGCTGGAGTGCAGTGGCCTGCTCATGGCTGTCCCAGCGTCGACCTGCTGGGCTCCGGCAATCCTTCCGCCTCAGCCTTCCAAGGACCTGGAACTACAGGTGCATGCTATCATGCCTGGCTAATGTTTGATTTAATGTAGAGATGAGGTCTCACCAAGTCGCCGGGGCTGGTCTCGAACCCGCGGGCTCAGGCGATCCACCCGCCTCAGCCTCCAAAAGTGCTGAGATGACAGGCTTGAGCCACTGCACCTGGCTAGAGTTTCACTTTTTATAAAAGGGCTCTGGTGGAGCATGGTGGCCTATGCCCGTTATGCCAACTCTTCGGGAGGCCAAGGCAGGAGGATTTCTTGAGAGCAGCAGTTTGAGACCTAGACAGTATAGCAAGACCTGGTCTCCCCCTCTCCCACACACACACAAAGAGAAAAATTAGCTGGCGTGGTGGTGCTGTCTATAGTCGCCGCTACTCGGAGGCTGAGGCGGCGGAAGGATGGCCTGAGCCCAGGAGGTTGAGGCTGTGGCAAGCCGTGATGGTGCCACTGCCCTCCAGTCTGGGTGACAGAGTGAGACCCCAACTTAAAAAAAAAAAGTGCCTCAATAAAGATTTGTGAATTGACTCTTTTAACAAAATCACTGCTTTGGAGCAGCAAGGTTGGGTTTATGTTCTTATCTGTCACCAATTCTTTCTATTATGGCTTGGAGCTTGCTGTCTTTTTTTATAAAATGAAAGTTTTTGCTACAAACCAGGGATGTAGGGAAGGTTGAGAAAAAATTTTTGTGTTCAGCACTGTGGATAAAAGTTACCCTGTTAATAATATGCTGTGACTTTTGGACTTGAAATGACTTACTTCTCTGGATACTCTCTTTCAGTTGACCTGAGAGCTGGGCCCCTTTCTCGTTCCTAAATAAGGATTCAATTGAAAACAATTACTAGAGATATTTTTTAACTCCCCTTCTTGGGACAATGGGTCACTGTATAACATTTTGCCTCTTCAGACTTTTGCTTTCTCCAGGGGACACCCAAGCCTTTGGGTTGCTGGGAGTGTGCTGCGTTATTTGCAAATTTGCAAATTCTGTCATTTGTTTTTTGCCCAAAGGAATTTGCACTTCACACAATTGTAAATTGATGGCTCCCTTGGAGCTGTTCGTTAGATTCCTGCTATTTTTCCCCTGGGACCCAAGACCAAGCCTACTCCAAAGGAGAAACCGAAAGATCTGGTCCCCCAAAGGCCACTGCCTTAGCTCCCATCCCCGCAGCCACCGCCTCCCCCCAGGAAATTCTTTTGCCAGATCTCATTTTCAAACAGCAGCATCCCACTGAGACCCACCCTGCTGCCAACCTTCTCTCCCAACCTTCCACCTGAGAGCTGTCTTCACTTGACTTCCCTGCAGAGCGCACTGCTGTGGAAGTCCTGCGGGGACGGAGCGTGATGTTGGTTCAGCCTGCCAGGGTCAGCTGGCTCAATGCTTTCAAAAAACTCACTGTCACGTATTTACAATTTAGGAGCTCTTTCACACCAAACATTTAGATTTTCGGTTCCTTTTGAAAGATTGTCAGCTCTGGTCAACGGGGCTCATATTCCCACACGGCAGCTATCTTTTGAGCTCAGTCCCTGCTGTTTGGTTTGGACGTGCATTCTTCATTTTCTTAAGGTTGCTGCCACTCCCTGGGGTTATATCTTGGGCACTTTATTTACATTATCTTCTCAACCTTTGCAGCAAGTTGAGCTTGCCACCGCTACAAACCTTCTCCAGCGTCTAGATGACTGTTCCGTCAATTGTCACTCTGACTTTATCATAGACCCTGAATCGAAGATAAATCTGACCTCTCGTGACTAGAGCAGAGCAAAGGGGTCAAATGCAAGGCAGACCGTGATGTTTGACGAGGTCCAGTGCCCCGATGGTCCAATGGGAGAACAGGCGTCCAGCCGAGCAGGGACTGCTGTGTCCTTTATGCTTCTAGCCTACTTCCTAGCCACACTCTGACCACGTTCCCATTCTGGTGGTGGCTTCCGGGAGAAAGGGCCCACAGGAAATATGGCAATTGTGGACGAGCAAGAAAGCCTAGCCCGATGCATGGACAGTATCACATAAAGGCTGAGAGTCCTGGCTCTGGAGCCGGAAGTGAACTTGAGGACTGTCTTTGTCTCTTACTAGATGCGTGGCCCTGGGCAAGTTACTGCATGTCTCTATGCTCCGGTTTCCTCTTCGGTGCGGTGGAGTGATAGCGCTACTTATCTCAAAGGGTGACATAAAGATGAAATAAAATAATGCACTACAGTGCTCAGCAAAGTGACAGAAACATGGTAAGCTCTCAATAAATGTTTGCTGTGAGCATCCACGATGTAAAAGCTGCTGTGCCCTCCACATACTGTGTGACCTTGGTCTAGTTACTTAACTTTTCTGTGTCTCAATCTCCATCATCTGCAGAAAGGAGGATATTATGATGAGCTTAATTACACAGTTGATTTGAAAAGTGAATGAGTTCTAGGTGGAGCACTCTGAAACAACGCCTCCTTATAAGAAATGCTATGTAAGTCCTGTTATTCTCTACCGTGGCAAGAAGATTTTTCACTTTGCTTCTTTTTTTTGTCAATGAAGATCTTTGATTTTGATATACTTGTTCTCAGAAGTGAGTAGAAATAGTGGACAGTCAGGAGACCCGGGGTTTACTTCAGTGCTGCTGTGAACGCTATACTATTCTACCTGGATTTCCTCATCTATCAGTTACGGAGGGGGATTAAGTTCAGTCGAGGCCAGATCCAGGTTTTGCGGGGACGAAGCTTATATACTATGCAAACATTGTTTGAGAAAAAGAATATAAGAATATAGATGCAAAATTAGTTATGACAGTGAATACTTATTTAAAGTCAGCAACAAACCACAATACATTTTTAAAATCTGAAAAATACTATAAAAATTACCAAATCTAGATAAGTAACAGCAGGGTGTGGGAGAATTTTTTCAAGTAGGCAAGGAGAAAATGAAAGGAGCTCTAGTCTCCAATATCCCTAGAGTTGTGTTGGATTCTTTTTGTCCCTCAGGGATTTTTTTCCTGTTGGCGTGTTTGTTTCCTTGATACTCCAAAGTCACTGTCCCAAATTCTCACTATCCTTGAGGAAACCGAGACAGAAATATTTTATATATTTTAGAGAAAGATCATGGAAATGCACAGGCTGTCTGAGTGTTAAAAAAGAGAGTGGATGGAAGAAATAGAAAAGCCCACATGAGAATAAGGCATTTTGGGAGTCAGCTCTAGTTAACTCTAGAGGAGTTATAATTTGGTGACTTAGAAGCCTTATAGACAGGAGTATTGTATCATGAGGAATTTACCAGAAATCAATACATAGGACTGAGGTGGGGTTGAAGGGCCCTTAGGAGAGAACAGCTCAGTTGTCAGACCCTCTAAACGGGGCTGTGGCATGTCCAGACTTTGGGCGTGTTCAGGGGCAAGTCTCACTCCTCTGGATGTGTCCGCTACTTGGAGTCTAAGAGGGACTCAGAAAGGTGCATTTGATGAGATGATCGGACGCATTAGAGTTTGTTACCTAGAAATCAAGTGAACATACTACTTTTACTAAAAATTTCCAGGTTGTCTTGAGTTTGTAAACATATTTTCATGGAAAGGTAAAATGTGCCTTGTTAGTAAGAGGAATTCCTCAAAGTTTATGTGAGGGATAACAAATGCAGCAATTTCAAAGATAAAATGTTGGCTTGAGAGGATGCATTCCCATTTGAGCTGCAAGCTTGGAGTCACAACAACTTGTGAGATTCTGGAAGGCTGCAAGTTTGGAAGAGCATGCTGTGAAATATGTGCTGTCCAGATATTCCTTTATTTACTACTGAGTTATTGAACATTACCCAGTGGTAAGTCCTGGTGATAAAAATAATAAAAGACAGGCTTACAATCTAACAACCTGATGGAAGTATAATCTCTGCATGGCGACAGAAGACACACAGCAGATGGAGAACAGACAGAAAAGAATGACCAACAAAGAGCTTAGAAAGATCTTTTGAGCATTTATGTCTACAACTGGATGCCTCTCAGTGGTGTTGGAGACACACGATGCAGAACTCTTGCTGTGTTTCAGTGCAAGTTACAATGTTAGTAGGAAGATAGAATCAGTCCCTAAAATGACCGGAAAACAGTACAGAACAGTGTATGATGAAATCACCTCCTCATTCCATGTTCATTCCTTGTTTTGTTCATGCCTTCATGCCTTCTAGAACTCTGTGTCTGGGGAGGGCTTGCCACGTGCCAGGAACTTGGCTGGTCATGGAGACAGAGTCATGGACATGAGAGTCAGAATCTATAACCTCGCAGAGAAGATGGACTTTAAACAAACAGTGCTCATGTGTGTGAGTGTCCTAGTGGGGAAACATGGGACATGGGCATGCAGCAGTGGAGATGGCTTGGTCTAGGCCTCCCTGAGGACGTGAAACGTCAGCCCAAGTCAGGGGCTGACCCTGGTTTCTGACGGTGACTCCCAGGCATCCTGTCCAGGAGGTGCTTTCCTAAGGTTTC